ACAGACAGATGCGGCCCTGTACATGCTTACCAGGTTGCGTCAAGAAATCTGGAGGACAGCTACCTGACCAACTGACTGGAAGAGTTCCATATTTATTCCCATTTCAAAATAAGGCAACCCAAAAGAGGGTGGAAATTATCAAGCAAAACAGAGCTAGGAGACACTACATGGTTCAAAATTGGGAAGAGTGTCCGCCAGTAATGTACTCTGTCTCCATACCTTTTCAATCTGTATGCAGAAAGATCATCTGGGATGCTGAGCTGTATGAGGGGAAATGTGGCATCAGGACAGGAGGAAGATTCATCAACAACCTGTGTTATACAGATGACACAACTGTGTTTGCTGAAACTGAGAAGGACCTGATACGCTTGCTGCAGAAGGTCAAGGACTGCAGCCTTCAATGTGGACTGAGGCTCAAAATCAAGAAAACAATGATTCTCAGTACTGGGCCAATTGGTAACATCATAATGGATGGTGAAGAGATTGAGATTGTTAACAGCTTTAGTGTACTGGCCTCCACAATCAATACTCTTGGTACCAGCAGCCAGGAAATCAAGAGATGAATTGCATTGGGCAACTCAGCTGTCAGGGACTTCTCCAGAGTAATGAAGAGCAATGACATCAGGTTGGAGGACATAGTCTTCACAATTTTGTGCTATCATCAGAGAGCTGGACAATGACTAAGGATGATAGAAAGAGAAATGATGTCTTTGAGCTGTGGTGCTGGAGAAGAGTGTTGAATATACCATGGACTGCTAGGAGAACTAGAAGAACAAATATGTTTGTCCTGGAGAGGGTGAAGCCAGAATGCTCCTTGAAGTCAAGGCTTCTGAAGTTTCATCTGACATACTCTGGGTATATTTCAAGGAAACAACAGTCCTTGGAGAGGAATATCATGTTTGGGAAGGTATAAGGACAGCGCAAGAGAGGAAGACCTTCGATGAGATGGATCGATTCAGTGATTGGGATAATGGGAGTAGGTGTGTCAGAAACAGTGAGTTTGGCAACAAACAGAGCAGGGGTTAGGGCTCTTGTACATAGGGTCACTATGAGTCGCAAGCAACTTGATGGCACATAACAACAACAACATCACTAATATCACACACAAGAAAAATCTTGTTGAAGATTGTCCAAAAATGGCTAGAATAGTACATTGACAGAGAACTACCAGAAATACAAGCTGACTTTAGAAGATGTCATGACACTAGAGACATATATTATAACCAATATTAGATGGATCTTGCCAGAAAACAAAGAACACCAAAGAAATATCTATTTGGGTTTCATTGATTATGCAAATGCATTTGTCTGTGTAGATCATAACAAATTGTGTCAAACTTTGAGGAGAATGGGAAAGGATTGTCAGGGATGTGTTTTGTCTCCATCCCTTTTGAAACTATATGCAGAACAGATCATTCAGGAGGCTAGGCTTTATGAGGAGGAATGTGGTATCAGGATTGGAGAAAGATTCATCAACAACCTGTATTATACAGATAGCACAGCCTTGTTGCTGAAACTGAGTAGTACCTGAAGTGTTTGCTGCAGAAGGTCAAGAGCTGGAGTTCAAGTTCAACATCAATAAAACAAAGATTCCCACCTCTGGCCCAATTGACAGCATCATGATAGATGGAGAAGAGCTCGACATTGTTAACAATTACAGCTTGCTTGGTTCCACAAGCAACACTCTTGGCACCAGCAGTTAGGAAATCAAATGAAAAATTGCACCAGGAAAATCTGCTGTCAGGACCTCTTCAGAGTACTGAAAAGGAACGATGTCAGTCTGGAGACCAAGATGTGCCTGACCAAGGCCATGGTCTTTACAATTACTTGTTATGTATCAGAGAACTGGACAATGACTAAGTATGACCAAAGAAGAATTGATGTCTTTGGGTTGTGGTGCTGGAGAAGAGTCTGAAACATACCATGGACTACCAAGAAAACAAATAGGTCTGTCTTGAAGAGGGTGATACCAAGTTACTCATTGGAGCCTAGGACTTTGAAGTTCCCTCTCCTTAGAAGAACATCATGCTTGGAAGGGTAGAGGGATAGTGCTGAAGAGGAAGATCCCTCATGAGATGGATTGATACAGTAACTGGGGCAATCAGGCTAAGTGTTCCAGAGTCAGCGAGACTGGTTCAGGATAGGACAAGCTTCAGAGCTGTTAAACATAGGGTCACTATGAGTAGCAGGAGACCAGATGGCACATAACAACGGCAACAAAATGTCATGGAACCAGAGCTAGGAGACTTCACTCATGTTTGTTGGAGGACTGGAGGAAAATGCTTTAATTGGCAAAACTAAAAAGCTTTGAACACTGGACTCCAGCCATGAGGCTGAAGGCTAAGGGGCCTGTGAGTAAACTTCGGAAGCTATCTTGACTGAGAAGTTGTATACCAACCTGAATTATAACCTGTTAACTCCCACAATAAAATCTATAATCTTGAATATGGTTCTGTGCAGTCTGTGTAGCTGTTGCAATGGATTTTGGACTCAATAGGGCAGTGAAAAAAATTGTAGAAAGAGGTCAGGAACATAAGCGACCACATCTGATATTATAGGGATTATATAAGGCTATTTACATATATACCGTTATATTTCCATTGTGTACTGTAATGCTATTGATGGGAATAGTTCCTCTTTGTGGAGTTAATATCAGTCAGACTTGGTCATTTTTATTCTTTTTACACATATGTAAATCACTATAACTATATATATATATAAAGATAGCACCTTTACAGTACTACAATGCCACTGTTGTCAAAAAGTCACGTGATAATATTCATTTGGTTTGAGTTTCGTAACCTGTTCCTTTATTCTGTATACCTATTCTTGTGCCAATACCACATTATATTAATTGTTGTAGTTATTGTTTGTTGTTCATTGCCATAGAATTGGTGCCCATCCATTATAACTTTATATAACCATCTCCATGAGGTTTACAACCTCTAAAAACCAGCATGAAAGTTAGCGATGAGTCAGTTCCAATTAGGTAGCAAGGAAAAGGAGAGTAAATTGTGTAAGAGAAGGAAATGCTGCTTGGTGCTGAACCATATTCATTATAATTGCTTTCTTGAGTCCATTATTAGGATCATGTGCATTTTGAATGTCTATCAACTTAGAATTCATCTTCCAGCACTTTGTTCAGATAGGATTTTGTCATGATTCATATAATTTCAATGGTATAAGTTTTAGAAGTATATTGCCAGGCTTCCCCCCATCCCAGTTGTGCTTTAGTCTGCAAGCATTGTTAGATCTTGTCTATTATGGTAGAGCCTGGTAGTCTTTTAAACACTAACAGCAAAGCTAATAGGATCACAGAAGTATACAAACCACTATCCTATGACAATCTGACAGCTAGGTGATAGTTATGCTAATTACTGTGTAAGCCTGGCACAATGACACTTGTTGGGTTGTTAACCTTAAGGCTGGAGATGTGAACCCACCAGTCACTCCATACCTAGATAGATGGACAGTCTTCCCACATGAAGATATACAGTCTCAGAACACATATGGGGAGGAGGGTCATTATGAGTTAGATTCAACTCAATGGCAGTGGATTTTGATAGCATTAATGCAAATATTCATAACTGGTATATAACTCTTTCATTTTGCTCTTCTCCTTCAAGATTGTTGAACCCTTTGCAGTGCATACACATTTTAAAATAAGTTTGCCAGTCCCTTTCTTTCATTCTCTCACACACAATGTGAACAATATGACCAATAACACAATATAATTGAGTATAACTCAAAGATTTAATTACCCATAATTAAGTAAATATATCTATTCCCATATTGATATAAATAATTTAGTGAAATTATAAATGGTGACAGATTTTTCTTATATTAAAAAATCTAAATAAAAAGTGTAGAATAAATAAGTATACTATAGTATTAATTTCTTTAGGCAAAATCCATTGGCGAATGCTAAAATCAGTAAGTGAAAATGTAATGAGAAATGGAACACTGGCATTCTTTGAAAGCATCCTTTAAACATTGGTCTTAACGTGTGATCCTAAAATCTATGAATAAATTCTTTTGAATTTTCTAGGAACTGAGTCTTAATTCAGTCTCCTTGAACTGAGTCTGGACCTAGTGATTCACACCTAACAAATAAAGCATGGAAAAGGAAAGAAAGTCATTGTACAGCAAAGAAACCTGACAGATTTAATTTCAAGCACACATATTCAAGATAATCATGACCATTAAAATATTATATCATATGGCTTAATATGATGCAAACATAAGGGAACACAACTTCCTGTAGTTCTTCCCCCAATCCAAGCCCCCATTCTAAACTCATGCTAAGAAAACCTCAGAGAAACCAAATGTAAGAAAAATTTTACAGAATACCTGCACATTACTGTTCTTAAGTGTCAAGGTCATGCAAGAAAAGAAAAGGTCACAGATTGGAGGACAGTAAGGAGACATGACAACCAGATGCATTGAGGATCCTGGAACAAAAAGGACAGGAATGGAAAATCTGGCAAAATAAGAATGAAGACTAGAGTCAATGCTAGTTTTTGGTTTTGGCAAAACACATTTATTAAGATGAGGCGCTGGGTGGTGGAACATAAGAACTCTGAACTATCTTTAAAGCTTCTGTAAATCCAAATTATTTTAAAAATTTGAAAGTAAAAAATACATTTTCTGAAAAGTTTCTCTCCAGTCTTTTTTAGAGCGATTACCAGGTCAATACATAGAAGAAGGTTCACTTTCTCTTTTAAACATTTTTAAGTACAGTTTGGTGTTTTTTTTAACTTTACAATGAAGATTTAGGGGTTTTTTTGTTTGTTTGTTTTGTTTTTTTTAAAGGATACTATGTGAATTGAGCCTGGAGAAAAGTTAACTCAGAGTTGACCTGAAATAAGCTAAGAGAAAGTTTTTGCTTAAGGATAAAAGAAACAAGAACTTTCATCATGTTTTAAAACAACAAAGGCCCTCTGTGAAGTATGAAATGGGCTTAAGGCTGGGGGACAATATTAAAGAATCTGGTTGCTTACCAGCATGACTTTCCTCTGTGGTTTCAGCAGTTTCTGCTTATGGAAGGTGGTGGCTATTGGAGCTGTGGAAATAGGTCAAGTTTTATCTTAGGTGTCTTACCCATGAGTGTCAACTATTCTATATCCTGTAACCTCAGAGATCCCATGGAATAACTCCAGAGTCTGATCTCTCAGCCATCCTGAGTCCCTTAGTAGGGCAGTCTTACCCTAACCTTGATGGGTCAGTCTCCTTTCAGCAAGGTCAACACAACAGCTTTTAAAAAACTGGATGAAATATGTTTATGGCATTGAAGTCTATGGGGGAGAGAATAGTCTAAAAGTATTATATTTTAGGGCATTATTTTTATCGTAGGAGTATGCAATGAGGGTTGCAGAGTGGATT